ACCATTATTGTTGGGTCAGAGGAACTGGCTTGGAAAGTTTCCCCACAGAGTGTTTGGAGATTTCATGGGCAGGGTGCTGGTGAAGAATACAAACTTGCTCAGGTTCAGAAAAAATCAGGCAAATATTGGGAGATGAAGTCTATGGTTGCTTATGCCCTACTGCCAAGACAGGTAGGAGGGAATTCAGAGCAGTCGACAAAATGGAACAGTCACATGCATAGTAATAGTGACTATATAGCATACATATCCATAGCTGGGCAGTTTACCTAGTTGTTACCCAATTCTCAGTACACACATTAATGAAAGAACATTGGAAGAAAGGTATGGACAGAATTAGATAGAGGAGGAAGAGGAGAATTGGGATTCTTGCCTGCTGAGAAATAAACACAGTCACAATGATTATTCTGGTTTCATGCATTGTATTCAGTTTTTACGGAAAAGTGGGCGAGGGTTAATTAAGCAGCTCCCACAAAAATTAAATCCTCACTTCATCTTAGGCACAAAATATTTTTACTGAGCTATTCTGCAAGACCATTACTTTTTCTCTTTCACAAACTGTCCTCAAAGCTCATACCTGCTGGATTGCCCCACAAGAAAACAGCAACAGTATCAATTGGACTCTGGGAAAAGTCATAGGTTAAAAAGTGTTTCTGAAGAATTAAAGTCCATGATATTTAGAAGCCTAGGTTTCATATCATTTGACCTTTACCCTGTAACAGACTGTGGTCACAGTTATGGCTGCAGCTTGTGTAGAAATATTAAGCTAGTGTTAAATGAACTGCCTTGGATACAGATAGCAATGTACCTAATATAACATGGAGTTCAAAACTGGTCACAAAATGTGCCCAAGACCCTGGATAAAATATTCAGGAAGCTATCCTGCCTTGAGCTGTGTGCTGCAATGGCTACTCAAGGTGGCTAATTCAAAGCTAGCTCAGTGTTCTGCACAAAATGCACTTTTTGTGCAGAACACTGCCACTGGACCCTGGCCACAGCTACATGTGCAAATAAGTGAGACTAAATTTAATGCTCATTAAGCTAATGTGCATTAAGCAATTTTTGGCAGGTGTCTACACATGCAGAGTCTTGGGACTAAAGTTAGTGCACTTCGCACTAAAGTTGGTCCCAAATCTGCTGCCACGTACCCCTGGGGCCACTGGAAGGAGTTCAGTCTCCAGCCAAATGGCTGCCAGAACTTGGTAGCCATGTTAAAGCCAGAGCAAACTGCCAGTACTTGGCAGCCATCTTAGAAGCTCTGGTTCCTAGGAAGCCCCTTCCTTGCCCAGGAGCTGCGTGCACAATGTAGGGTTAGCATGCATCAACTCTCTCCCTACCCCTCTGCTACCCCATGCCAGGGCTGGCCCTGCCTTTTCCCCTGCTAGCAGCACCCAGAACCCTGCTGCTGCAGCCTAGCCCCTGCCAGTGATGATCAGTGCCCTGCACTGCTGCTGACCATAATGTTGGCCTTGCTGGCCCTAGCAGGACCCCCCTCCCCTCTCTTCCCATGCCCCAGGACAGCCGTGCACCCGCCAGTGGGGTCCAGGACACTGGCTATGGGAGGCTCTGCCTGACCCCCTCCTCCTGCACTCTCCACACCAGCCCACCTGCCCCACCACCCACACACCCTCTACCCCCTGCCCACCCTCAGCACCACTGTCAGGACATGCACATGGTGAAAGAAAAAATGATATTGCCCTCACAACCCCTACCCCCATCCCAACCCCCTCAATAAACAGTACTCCTCCCCACCCACCAACAATAAAAAAACCACTTATGAGGCAAACTATTATACATGAGGCAAACCATTATACAAGTTGAAAAGTATTTACAATAGTTTGGCTGTTTAAGCCCAGAGTGGACAGTTATGTGGGGGTTTGGAGGCAGAGCCCGGGGTTAGATGCCCAGCACCCCAGCCCCTGGATGTTCCCTTGTGGGTCTAGGGGCTGTGGTTACCCTAACGCATGGTGGCCTCATGCAGAGATGGGTCTTTGGCTGTGTGGTTCAGGGAGAGTGGCGGGGGCGGGCCCAGGTGGGTGGCAGCAGGTCTGTGGCAGGGACCAATCCAGGGGGTCTGGTGGGTAGGAGGTGCCCTAGAACCTCCTCCTAGGGCCAGGTGGGGGCCTGCTGCAGGGTTGTGGGTGGGACCCAGGGGCCCTGTGGGGCCATGGGTGGAAGCCAGGCAGCAGGGCACGTGTACATGGCTGCCAGGGCCAGGAGGTTCTCCATGACCTGGTGGTTGGTGTCCCCCTGCTGCTGGAGCTGCTCCAGGTGCTCCTGATCCAGAATGTTCATGTGGACCCCATGGTTCTACTGTGCCTTGTCCCGTACCTCCACCTAGGCAATATCCTCTGCCCACCAGGCCTGCTCCTACACCTCCCACATCTGCTTCTGTGCCTGCTTTTGCACCCCCTGCTCCTCTGCCACCACTACCAGCTGCTGCAGCAGCAGGATCCAGTCCCTAGTGTGCCACTGGCTCAGCCAACACATCTGGACCACTCCAGTGGTGAGTGGCAGTGACCCTGAGGTGGTATCCCCACTACAGCTGGTGGATCTCTTCAATGTACCAATGTTGGCCCTGCAGAGGCAAGAGACAGACAGAAGCCTAAATTTGCTATTTTTAATGCACATTAAGGGTGCACATGTACAGACTCACACCCTAAATGTGCATTAAATTAGGTTAATGAACATTAACGTGTCTCATGTCAATGCACCCCCTGAGAATGTAAGTTCTGACACTGTTTCCAAGGAGCTGGTCACATGCAAATTTGGCAGACTGACTCTATCTCAGTCTCCAGCAATGAGTTAAATCAGAATATTTCAAGCACTACTCCTGCTGTTTCAAATGCCTTTGATGTTATCAACTCTGGCAGGCCTTATAAATGTAGTTACTTGGCTTTCAAGAGACCTCCTGTATGTAATGTAATCTTGCCATTCTCTCTGCATTGTGGTCAGGATGTTTGGGAAGAGCTGGCAAGTCAGTGGGCTTAATTTTTCTAACCTCTTATTCACACTGGGCACTATACAAGATGCTAAATGTGCAGTAGATTAATTCTACTGTGCATTAGTGCATCACAGCAAAAGTTGTGCTAATGTGCTAATGCACAGTAGAATTAGTCTACTGCGCATTAACATCACCAAAAGAGCACATGCCAGTGCTACTGTGCAGTAGTGCCAGTCACTGCACATTGAGTTAGTACCTGTTATTACAGGTCCTAAACTTAATGCACAATGGATGCATCTATATGAGATGCTAGGTCACTGTAGCAATGCGCTATGGTTACTTAGCATCCGTGGTTAGAAAAACATGATGCCACTGCTATGTCACCATAGCAATGCATTCCCTTAGTATAGTGCATTGCTATGGTGACATAGGAGCTAAAAACAACCACGCGCTGTGTGGACGGCACAGTAACAACAGTGCCGTAGGGGCATGTGTAGACACGCCCAATAACAACTGTGCATTAATACACATGTGGACACACTCACTGGTAATTGAATTGTCAAGTTTGGTGCATATCAGAACTCATGAAATAATGATGTCTAGAGCTTTTATTTTGGTATCTATGCACCCAAAAAATGAAGACATGTCATATGTATTTTAAATGATTAAAGGGGGTATTGGTTATAGGCATGTTGATCTAAGGACATAGGCAGAGAAGGCTCTTTAGGTAAATGTGATATCTTTTATAAGACCAATTACCATATTTCATGGTGTATAGGTCAACACGGTGTAGAGGTTGACCACTAGCTTTCTGTTCTGAAAGTTAAGAATTTTCATAGGCATGGTGTATAAGTTGGGGCCGGGCGTGGCACTTGGTTGGCATGGTCTCGTCCCATCCCTTGCAAGTGGTGCCAAGCCCATGCTGCTCACAAGGGGATGGGGATAGGGACAGGGATGGGGCAGGGCTGGGCTTGGTGCTCAATTTATGTAATCTTATCCCCTGTGAGCACTGCTGCCAGTGCCCCTCACAGAAGATGAGGCTGCACCAGCCGAGTGCTGAGCCTGGCCA